TCACACACTCTCTCTGCTCAACAATGCATAATGCATAACATTTTTCAGCGAAGTGATTTCCTGAAGAGTGTAAATACACTGCTGACTTCACCTTGGTTCACGACTTACAAATCTCATCTTACACTTTGAACAAGTTGAAACCCTGGGAGTAAGTAAGTACACACCACATTGGAGAAGTAAGCATCTATTTCAAAGAGAACTAACCATGAGGACCATACATGTGTGTAATTCTAGGGGTTGAATACAGTGTTTGAAATACAAACAATTGCCAGGTTGCCATCAGGACCCACAGACTAAACTGTGTATTATTGTAGCAAATAAATAGACAATCAAATTCACTGCAGGCCTTAAGGACCCATACAACTTTGATACTATGAGTCCGACACAAGAGATCTACCTATCGTGGGCCTACAGGCAGGTGCTTATTTCAAACACTGGTTGCATCACAAAAGTTGTAATACAATACCTATTTCTGCTGCCAATATGGCAGATTTTCCAAATGCAGTTTGGTGTGTTGTGATACAATAGGTTCATGATTCTTATTGGTAGTGATCATCATAATTCATCAATATTTGCATATGTTGTATCTGAATCAGGGATGTTCCCACACCTACAACATTACACGCCTAAGTGAAGGAATATTTGTGACATTTCATCACTCTTGGTTCTGGATAAACATGATTTCATATTGTTTTGAGTATAATGATGTATTCTTCAAAAGGTTTACCGGTAGTCAATATAAATGTCAGTGTACTGTCCATGGGGACCCAGGTTTGAAAAGGTCCCCAGTACACTGCTCTACACTATTGCTTGTCACCAAGACACTCTCACATAATGTGGTATCACTATACATTTGAGTTAGCTAAGGAATTTAGCACTCAGCATGACTGAAAACAGGGTGCACTTGATCAAAAGTATTCAATGTATGCACTACCCAGCTTGCATAGTCACAGGTGCAGGTTGCTGTCAAATGTATGCCAATCTTAGATACATTCTCTAAGAAACAACATAAATGGTCTTACTATAGTTGAGAAATATATCTGTCATAAACAGATTCCATGTATACAACACAATTTCATGTTCAACCAAAGAAAGAAATAGTGTCACAGTTACGTTGCTCACCTGTATATGTAAACAACATTTTGAAATGTCAACATAAACACAAACACCTAACAAAGCAACAAAAGTTCCTTTCCACACTGATATATAATATACACAGCATTAATACCCAGGACCAAACACTAACACTAACATTCTCAAGATTGGAACAAAAAATGTCTTCATAAGAAGAAACATACATGCCAATGGGTAATTTTTTTTATTGTTTCTGGGGAGAAAATGATGAATTATTGCCTTTATTTCCAAATAATAGCTTTTTGTGTGTGTATCTCAGATTGGTTTACTCAGTTGGATTTGAAAAATAGTATTAAACCCATATATACTGGCAGCCTTTTTTCAGGCCATGTGAGCTAAAAACACACTTTGAATAATTAGATCATGCACATATTTCCTATTCACTTAACCATAAGCCCCACCACAATGGGATTACAAATACAGCAGACTTCATAAACATCACAATGGTTTCCTGACAAATTAATAGAATCATCCATGTGAGTGTCAGATTACTAGTACTAGCCCCAATGGTTACAGAAGTGAAGAACGCCTATTTATAAAAGCAATTCAATAAGATACCAATGTGGCTACACCAGTCAAGATGAATTAACAGCCACATCTCATTTCAACAGACAGAAAACATAGAACTGTGACTACATCATCCGAGATTGATGAGGCATCTGTGTGACAGAAACTTCAACCACATTGTGTGAAAGAGTGTGCTTAGAAAACATTCATCTGTTACTGAAAATCTCCTGTACCCACAGACTCTGCAATACTCAGGAACTTCTTCATATTCACTCAAGTCTACACTACTTCCAAAACAAGCTATTTCTGTGTAAACATCATATCAGCATTCTTTATATCTCTTCTGAATCTACAAAACCTATGGAGATGTAACTTAGTATCAATGCTCCCAGCTAGGGTGCTCACAGAACCCATCCAAATTTAGTTTAGATCAGTGCATCTGATTTCCTGGTACATTATGAAGCTGAAAAGTGCAGAAAACATGAATTGAAAACTGATTGAATAGGAGTAGGGAACTGCGTCTAGCCATGAGTAGGGAACTGCATCTAGCCTTGAGTAGGGAACTACGTTTAGCCATGAGTAGGGAACTACGTCTAGCCGTGAGTAGGGAACTGTCTAGCCATGAGTAGGGAACTGCATCTAGCACTGTGTAGGGAACTGCATCTAGCCATGAGTAGGGAACTGTGTCTAGCCATGAGTAGGGAACTGGTTTTAGCCATGAGCAGGGAACTGCATCTAGCCATGAGTAGGGAACTGCATCTAGCACTGTGTAGGGAACTGTGTCTAGCCATGAGCAGGGAGCTGTGTCTAGCCATGAGTAGGGAACTGTGTCTAGCCATGAGTAGGGAACTGTGTCTAGCCATGAGCAGGGGACTGCATCTAGCCATGAGTAGAGAACTGCATCTAGCCATGAGTAGGGAACTGCATCTAACACTGTGTAGGGAACTGTGTCTAGCCATGAGCAGGGAACTGTGTCTAGCCATGAGTAGGGAGCTGTGTCTAGCCATGAGTAGGGAAACGCGTCTAGCCATGAGTAGGGAACTGCATCTAGCACTGTGTAGGGAACTGTGTCTAGCCATGAGCAGGGAACTGCATCTAGCCATGAGCAGGGAACTGTGTCTAGCCATGAGTACAGAACTGCGTCTAGCCATGAGTAGAGAACTGCATCTAGCCATGAGTAGAGAACTGCATCTAGCCATGAGTAGGGAACTGCGTCTAGCCATGAGTAGGGAACTGCGTCTAGCCATGAGTAGGGAACTGCGTCTAGCCATGAGTAGAGAACTGCATTTAGCCATGAGCAGGGAACTGTGTCTAGCCATGAATTTTTCATTTTTCTAGACCCCTTATGAATCTCTTTCAGCAAAACATGACCCAAGGTCTTTTAGTTTGTTTAGTTTACAGATTTTTTTATGAAAATTATACGGCCGGTTGTTGAAATAGAATACATGTACAAATAAAATTGAGAAACAATATTTCTGGTGGTGACAAACAATTACGGTCATTAGAGTAAAAATATAAACTAAAGGGCCCTTTTTTCTACTAAAGCATAAACAAAGGTTAAAGTCTTACAGACATATTATCTTGTATATCATTTAAGTAACTACCTTATTCCACATTGGAACCAAGTAATAAAAGAACAAATGCCGAATTTCAATTCAAACTTACTTAATGTCCAAGATGACCATAATATTAGGGTTTAAGTTTAACAGGAGGGCAGAGGACAAACACTTAGCTCACATGGCTTACTGAGGGCAGAATCAGGTTCATTGTGATTCCATTAAAGAGATACTATCAACAGGAGTCACAGCTGCATGAAATACTAAACTTGTTACAGCTGACCTCATATCTGGCCTCATGACCTAATATATACATCATATCATATAATCATCACTTCAAAATACAAAAGTTTGACCCAATAAGGTTATGAATCCCAAAGACTTCAGCATTCTTTCTTATTTTGAATTTTAAAAATTCAGCTGATGGGAAATGTCTTGAAAATGAACTCTGTACTACATGAATACCTCACAAGTGCCAATGGGTATTCAACAGGACAAGTTAATTGCTTTTCCTTTCTGTAACTGTAAGCTATGAACAAAGGGAATTTTAAATGTTCAATGTTAATTCAAATGTGTAAAGCAGATGTGTAAGCATTTTCCCTTTTGAAAGATAGCATTGGTTTGTGCATAGTACTGAACATTCAAATATCTGTCTTACATGCAGGCTACACACAAGTACTCAATTGATGGAACAGATAAACTGGTTTAATATTTAACCCCTGCATTATGAGAGCTAGGATACAAGAGCATTGTCATGAACACTTAATTCCTGAGACATCACCCCTTAAAAAAAACATATAACAATCTTTATTGTGAAAATATTGTCATCCTAATAGAGATTCTTTTGTCAAGCGAATCCTGTTTCAATATTTTCAAGTTGTATTTTCAGCTACATGTACAATGCAGATGCCATTCATTTTGAGGGTAAAAATATACTCACACGCAAAAGAAACGCAAGTGGTTTTCAGCAAATAGGTAACAAACACGGAACCATAAATTGATACGAATTTAGCATGTAGTGAAGCCTGATGGTGTTATCAATATTTTTGGTTACATTTTGGAAGCCCTGAGTAAAAACGCAACATTAAAAATGAATCGCCAAAACGCACCATTTCAATGAGTATGTGGGTATCATGCACCCATTTCTTGCAAAATCTTGCGAAATTTCTTGCACGTCGTCCTGTTCTCAAACGACGGCATCGACAAGCACGACTTCAGTGGGCACAGGGTCATCACAATTGGCGTCATCGTGAGTGGAGGCGTGTCATCTTCTCTGATGAAAGTCGCTTTTGTGTCTCCCATGCAGACGGAAGAGTCAGAATAGAGTCAGAATTTGGCGTCGTCGAGGTGATCGTTTTTCGCTGACAAAAACGTTGTGGAAAGGGATCCATGGGGTGGACTTAGCGTCATGATATGGGCAGGGATTGGACTTAATGTGAGACTTGGACCTATGTGCTTTCTGAATGTTGGTCAAGGTCGGGGAAACAGCGTCACTGCTCAGCGGTATATCGACCAAGGGATCAGACCCCGCGTTGTTCCATTTTTTGCACAACATCAACAACACATTTTCCAGCAGGACAACGCTCGTCCCCATGTTGCCACAGTTGCCATGGCCTTTCTGCAACAACACAACATCTGTGTTCTACCGTTGCCAGCCCTCAGCCCTGATCTGAACCCCATCGAACACCTGTGGGATGAGGTTCAAAGGCGTCTGCACAATGTGCGCCCAGTCCCTACAACTGCCGATGAACTATGCACAGCTGCTCTGGATGTGTGCAGGACGATCCCTAGGGCCTTCACAAATCGTCTGATCCACTCAATATACAGGAGATGTGTGGCAGTGATCAAAGCTAATGGTGGTCACACCAGGTATTGACTGACATTTTGGGTATTGACCCGAAACTGTGTAAGCCCTTAACATTTGAAAAGGGCTCAATTATGTCATCGGCCTTTCAATCCATTAAACTTTCTTCAGTCAAATTTTTGTCAATCTTGCCCTATTAGTATTTCTTGTCTTTACTGTTGAAAATAAATAACATGTATACTGCATACTCGACTTGCGTTTCTTTTGCTTGTGAGTATATGATGATTAGAGATGTTACTTACTGTCTTGAACAGTGAACGCCTGAAAAGTGGTTCATGGATTGACAACTTGCAGATCTCTCAAGCAACCTACACTTAAAAAATTAAGATTTTTATCAGACAGTGAACTTTTGAACTGCATCCTAACTATCTAAATGCATCAGCTTAAAAACATTCGCAAACCTGTCTTTCTTCCAACAAACAAGATATACATAATGTACAACACAATGTTTCTTCACAGAATGACCCCAAAAGCATACATTAGGCTAACAGTTTGTAAGTTGGTGATGTTTTCCCAGAGACACAGGTATGATGTGACTTGCATGGCATGGTCCATCGTGGGCTGCTGCTGCTGCTGCTGCTGCCAAGTTACAGACAAGATATACAGACAGGCTGATAACAGACAGGTTCGTCAACTGCAGTAGGTGGGTGGAGTAAGGCACCGGTCAACACACAACACTCCCTCACACTTTTTTACACAGAAAATAGGGTACAAACATCAGATGTGTTATTCCAGCCTGTGGACATATACATTACAGACCACCAACTGCACTCAAGATCCTGCAACATGAGCACATAGGGTTACTGATGACTTGCCAATCCTTTCATCAGCTAGTTTGTGTCGTTGATATAGTACTGTCCTCCTTGTCAGCATCTGTATTAGTTTCACTACTGTCTTGTCCTGTAGTGTCCCCACTTGGGCCAGGCACAGCAGAATCTGTTTTATCTGCTGGGATCATGACGACATCTAGCCCAGGGCTGTCACTGTTCTCCAACTCTGTCAGCAATGCTGTTGCCTCCTGCAGTGTGTACTGAAACATTCACAGTTGTACTGGATCATGCAAACACTTTACAACAAGAGATGGGCAACGCGTACCCGAGTATCATATGAGCAACATGAAACAGACTAACTGCATACCTGAGCACTCTGTGTTCGCTGGAAGGATTTCCTGTTGGAGTCCTCATTGGACAGCCCAGCTGAACTTGTGGTGCTCCAGTAATGTTCTGTCATCTGCACAGAAATAATGTTTTTGTGGTTATGTCTCTTCTTGTTACTTGAGCATGATATATACAAGGGTTAGAGCAGTGACAGGGTAGAAATAAATGGATTCAAATACTCATTTGTTGTTACCCTACTCAGACTCGAATACCTGTTTGTCATTACCAGACTCGGATGCAATACTCATTTGTCATTACACTACTCAGACTCGAGTACCTGTTGGTCATTACCAGACTTGGACTCACGAACCAAATAGTCATTACTGTATATGACCATAGATAAGCCGATCTCATAGGTAAGTCGAAGTATTAACTTGGTCCTTCAAATCTGTATAAAAATAATTGTGCAGTAGATAAGCCAGACCCTCACCCTGAAACTACGTCTCGTCATTATCTGTCATTGGAAATAGAATATCAACAAATCTGTATTGAATTACTCAAGTTAATCCTGTCGCTACAACATCAGTATTAAAAAGTGTTTAATTGTATATCTCATTTATTTTAATCAAACTTTTATTCAATAATATTTACATTAATTTCGGTGTCTATTGGGTACTTACAACTTCTGTTTGCCCTGTTCCATAAGTTCTGCTTACCAACTTACTGTTATTTACAGCAACCACGATCATATTACTGCTATTGACACCTTGAAATGAACCTCAGTTGACAGAAAATGGATACACATATCATAACTGCCCAACTTTGACACGTTCACGATTATTGTCAACATATTGTTTCTGAGATGGAAATAGCGAATATCGCCTGAAGCGATTAACTCATACATTAGCTGACCCCTTTCTACAGAATCTTTTTTTCTGGTCCTCAAAATTTGGCTTAGCTACAGTCATATACAGTATGTACAAAAGAGGTTAAAAAGAACCAGGACAGCTGCTGCATGTAGTGTCCATGATTGAGTGAGTGAGTTAGGTGAGCCAGTAATATCACAGCATGTCAGCTTAATGTGGACCCAAGTGATGCAGGTCTCCGTGCATGACACGTAGGAAATGACCATTTCTGATTAAATGCAAAGTTTTTTTGATACTTACCTGACGCTACACAGTGCTTTAGCTTCCCTACCTTATACAAACAGACAGTACTGGAATGAAGAGACAGTAGAAAGAGACTAAAGCCCATGCCTTTTGTTATCCCTCTTTGCCCCTACCACTTCATATTCTTCACTGTATGAAAGCAGGCGCAGTGTAGAGTGGTGCCAAAAGGTAAGGTGGGAGAGGCAGACGCAGTCCGGGTGGGCCTATAGGTGTAGCGTCAGGTAAATAAAAAAAACATTGCATATAATCATATATGCTCATGTTTTACCTTACCTGATGCTACACAGTGCTTTATTCGACTGACATGGAAGGCGGGCTCACTGTGAGAAACGCCAGTCACACTGAGGAAGCACAACAAAACAGTCCGGCAAGGAACCCTTCAGGCGCATGGCGAGCCATCGTAGAAAACAGCGCACGGATCTCGTGTGGACTGTAGGCCTGCTGGAGGTGGCAAGTCAGCATGACGATAAGCCCTCAGGATAACGCACCTTAGCTTGCGGAGATACGGTTGGAGAAAGGAAATGAACAGCCTCTGGCGCTGCTTATGATGCAGCAGTGACACCTGATTATATTGCCGGAGAGATCGAACCGAGCAGAGGACAAGTTCCACGTCATCATCTGGACCGATGATCTCTGAAAGAGGCAGGATGTGAAACTGCCAATCAGGTTGGCCTGGCAGTCCCAGCAAAGACAAAGGTGAAGAAGGGCGTTAGGTCGAACCTTGGACCTTGGCAAATAGTGCAGGGACTGAGGACAGCCGGAAACCATGAGCAATCCTCAAGACAGAATTGACCGCAGCAACATATGTCGCAATTGTCGAACCAGCAAGGTGACAGGACTGGTGGGAAAAAACCAATAAGTCAGCCACCTTGTGGACGTTGGCCCCCGCGGGAACTATGTTCCTGGACGAGCAGAAGGCCTGAGAACGAGCGCCACTTGTCATCATATAGGGAACAGGTGGAGGAATGATGAGTTCAGGAGACAGCCTCCTAAGCACAAGTTAAAAACCCTTTTAGAGATCAGCGACTTCTGGAGACATGTCAGACGTGCAGATTTAACTTTCATGGTTGAGCAGCAGATGTGGCCATGCCGGGAAACTGGTTCTCCGGCGAGTTGAATGAGGCTTGGAAACCAAATCCTGGCCGGCCGGTAAGGCGCAACCAAAAGCAGATCAAGAGGACAGGTCTGTGCTGCTTTGTGAATGACCTGAGGTCGGAAAGCGTACACGCTTAGGCCGACCCAGGACAGAGTGAGGCCATCTACCTCCCAAGTAGTTGGGTCCACGACTTGAGACAAGCACACCGGCAATTGATGGTTGCTCACCATGGCCAAGTGTTCAACACTGAGAGTTCCCAGACGATATGGAGGCAACACCACCTGAAAAAGTCCAAGATTGATGACGATACAAAGTAAGTTGAACTCAGTTCCAATAACAAGTCTGTTGGCAAGGCAGACAGAGAAGAATATAAGGGACTAGGGGCCAAAGAGGATAACTCGAGGATGCTGAGGCACCGGCTGTAGACTGTTTCAACTGTCTCTTTGTTCCAGTACTGTCTGTTTGTATAAGATAGGGAAGCTAAAGCACTGTGTCGCGTCAGGTGAGGTAAAACATTATGTGCAGGAAGGAATACCAATTTTCAGAAACAACAGAAGCCTTATACCAGTAAAAACCTTGATATTTTTTATATTTGTATACTTACCCTGCATTATTCTTTAATGCATTTACTGCTTGTTCTTGACAGTAACAGAGAGTTGTAAGAGGTCTTGCTGAAGAAAAAGTTGTTTCAACTAGCTGAGTGGCTAATCCACGGAAGGGGCTATACCATATGTCATCACATTATTGCGAGACAAGAACATCTGAAGGTATCATGGGGAGGCAGCCCTGCGACAGGATTTTACTACATTTCTTTACTACTCCTTAATGCATCTTTATCCGATGGTACAGTCGAGGGCATACCCCCAGAAACGATCTTCAATAAACTTCACCCCAAAACACAAGCCAATCAGTAAAAGAGATGTCCAGCATTGAGTGACCATTCCTGTTGACAGGGAGGGAGAGAGAAGATTAGGTACGCGTGAAGTCCAGGGCCCGGGATCATGAAACTAACTTAAGATCATATTTTGTCTTAACTCTTAAGATTTAGACTTAAGACCAAATTTTGTCTTAAATCGGGGATCACGAAGCACAATCTATGAGAATATCTTAAGCCTAAGACAAAATTTGATCTCAAGTCCTAAGACTGCCCCTGAGTAGACTTAAGACAAAATTTGTAGCAAGAAAGATGGCGGAGGTTGTTCGCCTCATGCGTCGCCTGAGGGCTAAAAAGGACAAAATAGCAATTCATCGGACATTTCGAGACCGATTCAACCCTCTTGATCTGTACAACGACGAAGAGCTCTTTGAGAGATATAGATTTCGTCGTCCTACCATTTTTTTCATCGTTGGTCTAACCGGTGATGAACTGGCATAGATTCTACCCCACTCAGCGTTCCCACAGTCTCCCACCTATTATTCAAGTTTTGATATTCCTTCAGTTTTTTGCTTCTGGGGCTTTTCACCTTCAGTTGCTCAGTCGCTTTGTGTCAGCCATATTGCATAGTGTTTACAAAATCACGTTATACGTACACCGGTAATGAGACGCAAATACCATCACGTATATTTCAAAATCAGCTGCGATACCTACATCCTTGAATTCCTCATACATTTTAGAATCAAATGCCAAATGGTCTTTGTCACCAATACAAATTGTCTAGATGTAATGAAGCAATATAAATGAGTCGTGAAAACGAACGCTGAAAAAAGTGCACTTGTTGGATATGTAAACAAAGCCATTCGTCTATTCGTTGAGTACATTGGCTCGATCAGCATTTTCAGAATAAACACAGGAAGAGAATCGTAGGGAGAATTAGGGAATATATACATTGCAATGATTTGATATTTTCAACAGAACTTGTCAAAGTTCCTGTCCAGTGTGACGCCATGACTGACGCAATATCACACACAACGACAACGGTATTTATCAGTATTTATCGGAATTTCCGTTGGTTTCAATGAAAAATATAACAACAAATAACAGTACACAGATTGTCAGAATGGGTCTGATTACTTACATGTCACATTTATGTATATACGAACCCTGAATCAACGAAAGTCCCCTTGTAAAATCCCGCGTACTGTTGACAGTCAACACGCCATTTTGTAAATATCGGTCACCGGTAGTGATGTCATACGTCAACATATGTTGTACATATTAGGTAATTTCTTTGAGGTGAAGGTCCTTGAATGAAAGTACACACGATCATTGTGTCCTAGCAGGCTATTTACAGTTTCAATTATGATGTAGATCGTGCATGTCTTGTGTACATTTTTTCACACATTTAATTTCACTTTGGATATTAATCAATGTTTAATATGATATCAGAAGTAGATATAGGCCACAACATGTATGAGCCTTTAATAATATCCTGCTTGTTTGAACAATGTTTACATATGAAATTGATAAGTTTATAGTGTCGTATACGTGATTCTTTATTTTGGACAAGTGATACTAGATGAAATGTAAATGCAACTGCAACATGTATGTATTTCCAGGGAGTGTAATAGTCAATATTATAAGTTCATATAAACAGTGTCCACGAATAGCTGTATAACTAAACTGAAGATATAACTTAAAGAAAATTGATAATTTTTTTCGTTAAAATATATGCACACATTTCTAGAAGAATTGTCCTTGTCTTGGAAATTTTTTTTATGCCGTTTGATATACAGAACAGTGATATCTAACGATTCGCCAGGTGCGCGTTAGTCACAAACGACTTATGAATTATTTCTCTAGTTTTGCATTATATAATCAATGGGTTCATCCTTTATCAAATATTGTGACCACAAGATATTAAACTGTTTACTATATTTCTACAAGAATTGTAAAAAGTTTTGAAATATAACCCGTGCCATGTACCCCGT